GAGAGAGAGAGAAATGGGTATGCTTGGTACCAAGCACAAATTTTGTGCTTGGTAGTGAGGTGGCACATCCCCCTCCACTCATTCAAATGGGGGACCACATTCACATGGGTTGAGGAGTGCATGGGGATGTGCAACCATTTGAATGAGTGGAGGGGATGTGACACCTCACTACCAAACATAACTTTTTGTGCTTGGTACCAAGCATACCCATCTCTCTCTCTCTCTCTCTCTATATATATATATATATATATATATATCATATTATTAGAAAGTAATGAATGAGTTTATAGGTCATGCATTGTATATAAGCAAAGGTACAGAGCATAATATTGATTCTATAGCATTTGTATGCTTGCACATCTGCAAAACATCTATATATACCTGCATTTAATACATCATAGCTGGGGTTGTTTATTTTGGTAAGCATAACCCTGCTACTTAGGACAACTCATGACACGTAATATTGGTAACATGGTTTATATGTGCTTTGCGTTGTACGTATTGGTTCTAGTATGCTTGCTACTAAATTAAATTTAATTAGCAGCCAACTCTCGTAGATCAAGTGTATGTTGTCATAAGTGCATTCCCTGTTTCTCCTATGCTTTAATTGCTGGTGCTCTTTGTGGTTGTGCTACTTATGGATGAAATGCCATGTAATAGCTGGTTAATTGTATTGGTTGATTTATAAGTTGTATATTCTTTAGCGTAATATTGTCAACGAATCCTTTAATCCTTATATTTTTAATTAAATACATGAATCTTTTATTAAATATATCTATTCAGTTCTAAGAAGGGGCATCTCTATTCAGTTAAAATTTATTGTTCTTGCTGGGCATCACACTACATTTGGCGGCTCGCAAATGTGTATCCCTTAGGATTAGTAGATTTTCAATTTAGTTTTATTCTTGGTACCAGCTACCTAATGTGACCCCTCCAAATACCGGCAGATGCCAAATGAGGAAAAAGAGTTCGTCATTTTTCTAATTTCATCCTAAGGGGTTTTCTCTATAATGGATACCACTAAAAAAGGCAACCTGATCCCGGATCTCTTGTTACCAAGTGCACAAGCAGGACTAGGCTTACTATCTATTTTTGGCTAAAGGACCGGAGTCAATGCTCAAGGCTTGCTATCTATTGTTGGTTCTTTCATTTCAACATTGCTTTTGAGCTGCTTAATAGACTATTGGCATCCCTTTGTTGTAGCTGAATGTTTAGTAGACTATTGGCATCCCTTCGTTGTAGCTGAATGTTTAGTACGTCCTATAGTTCAAGACAGGGCTAGAAAGCCTCAGCCAAAACACAGGTTAAGCTTCCTAACTAGTGCCTTCAGTGAGATCAATTCCTTGTTTTGTAGTGTAATGGGTGAGAGGCTGGGTGTTTAGTGCACATTGATTGCAATGTTAGTATGTTATGTTTATGACATTTTTTGTTAATTATATTTCTTTGCAACTGTTGTTAAAACTGTACAGTATTGTTTTGTAGTAGTTTACACATTTGTGACACATTCTCGGATCTTTTTTCAGTGGCGCACAAATTAGCTAGAAAGAAGCCAGGTGATCTTAAATTGCTTCATCAGACGCTTTTTGGAAGGAAGGGAAAGGTGATGGAAGTATTTTATTACTTTGTTAATTACCTATCTTCTTCTCTTACCACACGTTTCCGTTGGTCAATTCGGTCTTTATATAATTAGAGTACTTACCTTTAAATTTTATTTACGTATTTTAAGATGTTTGATGCTCCTTGTACTGTTAGGGAATGTGCAATTTGTTTAAACAATGAATTAACTTTCCTCTTTATTGTCTGTTGTTGCAGTAGACCAATATGTGATCCCAATAGATCAAACCCAGTTCATCATCAAAAACCAGAGTATAAGGGAAAGGATCTATCCAGAAGGATCTGATTGTTTCAGATATATCTGGAGCCTTTAGGATTTGCTGCTACATGAATTCTTGAACTGTGTTTCTTGAGTCTTTCATCATGTAGTTCATGATCTATATTTATAGTAGGGTAACCTTTGGGTTGGGTAATCTTCTCAAGTCAGGGTATGCTCTTGGAGTTCTGGAATTATAGAGCAATCCTTTTAGGAGAAAAGCATCTCTTTAGGATAATAGTTTGAAAATGTGGATTTTACAGAGGCTTATTTTGCTAGGGACCAACTTGCACTGGCTTATTTTTTTTAAATATGAGCAGTACATATTATTTTGTAATGGCTGAAGTAAGCTCTCCAACCCTCCTACAAATACTCACGACACCCAAGTTTTGTTTCTGTCAATGAGTTAGCTTCTGAGCTCATTTATGAACCAAGTCTTAAGTGTCCTGCTTGAGTTCTCAAATTCTGTTTTATTAGCATTTCTTCTGCTCGTTATGTATTATTATATAAATATAATATCAAGTTTCCTATTTTCCTTAATAAGTGTCCTTGTTGTTTCTATAACCAATATTAATATAGTCTTTGCTTCCCCTAATTCTCTAATCAAGTGTCTTCTCATTTCCTAATTATTGATATTATAATGTTGTTGCTTCCTCCTGCTTGCTCACTGGTTGTCTCCTGCTCTCCTTCCCTATTCCCTCTCTCTCTCACACACACACACACATCTGCTGATATTTCTTCTATAAAAGGATGGTTTTTGGATCGTTATTGTTGCTGATTATTTCTGAATCTGATATGTTGAATAAATTCTTCTGCTTGAGTTCTTAAACTCTGTTTATATGGCATTATCTTCTGCTTTGTCTTTGATAGTTTATAATATTGGCTTCTCTATTATCTAATCAAGCTGTTGTATTGCTTCCAATTCAGGCAGTTGACTTTAAAAATCATATTCTCAGATTTTCTGGATTTTCATGGCATGAGAGTGATGTAAGCCTTCCCTTTCATTCTTACATATATTTCTTATAGTTAGATGTTTATTTTCTACCGATACAGATATTCTTTGTTTATTTTCTACCGATACAGATTTTCTTTGTTTATTTTCTACCGATACAGATTTTCTTTCTGTAATTGCAAGATGTATGTTCTTATTTTTGTCTGGTTATTTGTTTGATTTGAATTCTGTATTTCCTTTTCTAATGCTTACAGGATAAGCAAAGAGCAAAGGTTAAGGAGAGACTAGACAAATGTGTTAAAGATGCTCTACTTGATCTCTGCGATTTGTTGGATATATCTGTTTCAAAAGCTAATACTAGAAAGGTTGGCATCTTAGTGCTGTGACTTTGTAGTCTGAAAACCTTTGGCTGTTTTATTGTTGTAATGCATGTAGTCTATCATGACATTTTGTGAGTTTGGAAATGCCTTTGCAGGAGGACATCATAGGGAAGCTTGTGGACTTTTTGGCAGCTCCTCATGCTACAACTGATGTCTTACTTGCTGAGAAGGAGCAGGTTTGTTTCAGATGTGAATAAAGTAATCAGCTCTGATGAAATGTTTGATAGAGTTGTCTGTCTACTGCATATATACTTTATATAATTTCTTGCCTTAGGATATGCATATTAGTGGTACTGTTTGTACAGGGATTAGTGACTTGCAATATGTCTTTCATATTTCTGAAGAAACTATCTTTATCTATGCCCCTATTACTTTTTGCAGCCAAGTCCAAAATCACGGAAGCGTAGGAGAGCAAGTGCATCAAAAAGCACAGAAGACGTAGTTGTGAAGCGGTCTAGGAAAGTATGTGCATTTAAACTGGACATTTGGTTGGTTACATGTCATATATGCATATTTATAGATACTTTTTTCCCCTTATTTTGCTATGTTTTCATTTTATACTCTTCTTTTTAGTCTTAAAACTATTGTAAGTTTTTTGTTGGAAGTATTTCTTGTTCAAGTTGCTTGTCAAATTGTTCTTACATTTTATATCCATGAGCCTTAAATTCTTGCAGAAGCGAATGAAGAGTGAGGGCACACTGAGTTCCAGAGACAAGAGTGCAATAGATACTGAAGATGAGGATGAACACGATGAATATGAGGATGAGCACGAGGAAGAGGATAATGAAAATGTTGTTACCAATGAGGACGAAGAACTTGAGCACTCAGAAAGTGAAAAGGAAAATGAATCTGAAGAAGCACATGAGAAAGATGGTGATGAATCTGAAGATGAAGATGATAAGGAGTCTGGAAAAGACAAAAAAAGTGTGAAAACAACTTCCAAGAAACAAAACTCTTCAAAGAAAGAGAAGGTGAAGACTGAAAGCAGTTCTAAGAAGATCGCTCCAATGACAGCCGCAAAGAGCCCTACAAAGACACCATCCTCTGCACGCTTGAAGTCTGATGAGAGCAATGATTTAGGTGAAAAGGTTTTTGTTAGGAAGAAGAAAATTGTTGAGCCACCCAAGAAGAGATCAGCTGCAAAGCAGGATGTAAAAGAGAAATCTAAAGGTTTGTCTTTTCTTCACATGTTCCATGTTTTCCGAGAATCAAGCAGTAGGTAAATGATCTCTGTGGAATGTGGATGCTGAACTGGGTTCACCTTTTGCTGCTCCATGGTGTCATTTTTAACCATTTAAAATTACTAAAACAAATCTAAGCCAAACTCTTGCTGGAGTAATATATCATTTTATGCCATCAGTAAGGTAAATTGAGACCAACAGGGAATATCACCAGTTTTGATACGACTGATAATCTGAGGTCTTTAGGCCTGTGCCGTGTGTTTTCCATTCTTTTATGTGTTTTCACTCTTTACTAGCTGGCAACCTAATGTATCTCCAGTTCTCAACATTATGCAGGGATTGATGCAAAACCCTCAATTCTAGTTTAGTGGCTACTGTTTGGCTCATGTTTCATGACTTGCATATGCATGTTTGCTTGCTAGTGATCAAACAATAACTAGAACCTTATATGATGTTTTCCCCCTTTAAATGGATGTTGTACTTTGACTACTTTCATGTAATGTCATTCTTCATATATTTTATCGTTCAGGGAGCCACATGATTCAATGATTCATTGATAAGTTTTCTGATTGTTTTTCAACTCTTTTTTTAACTGTTAAGTCCTCAGAAGCTGAAAATGTTAAGACTCTAAAACAAAGGTAATTGAAGCAATATTATGCTAGTCTCTGGACACATCAGTTTATTTTGAGCTAATTTTAATCAATGTAATTTTTTCTATTCATTTGTTTTACATTAATCTTATTGAGTCTCTTGAAAATTTTCTTGTTCTCCTCTTTTATGCCGTGATCTCTTAAAACTAATTATGAAGCTTAGCATCGACCTATTTGCAATCTTCACCTATTTGGAATCTAGATAGGTCGCCTGTTTGGAATTCTGCGTGGGTCAACCTCTGTATATTTTTACATGGGTCCTTACCCATAGTACTGCCACCATCAGCAACATCCTTTTCAGTTTTTGAGATATCTTCTGAGTTTTTTTTGTTTTCTTTCCTTGAACTCCCCCCAAGTGTCTGCTTGGTAACATGAAACTGTACTTATATTGTTGCTTGAGTTGCTGCAGCCTGAGCAGCAGTAGGTATGATCCAATCAACCATCCCTTACTCCCTAGGCATGTAATATCCCTCCTATGATAAAAACAGTTCCTGTTTTTGCTTGATTTTCCAATGCTCGCATACCGCAATGTGCCTTGCTTTCACTATGTTACTTCTAACTTAGTAAATAGATAAGTGTTGTTGATGCCCAGCTCTTTCATCTTTTATCTGATTCTTCTCTGTGCCATGATCAAAGGTAAAAGGGGAACTGGAGGCAAGGCTAAATCAGAAGGGGCTGGACAATCTAATCCAAGCAAAGAGGAGCTAAGGAAAACCATATGTGAAATTCTCAAGAAAGTTGACTTCAACACGGTAAGCTTCTCTGTACTAATAATTTTTTGAGTTAACAGAGTACGCCCTGGAGATTCTGTAAAATAGCTAGTTTGCTTGAATAAAATAATGGAAACTAGACACCTATTCATTTCAAATCTTGTGCGGGTGTGCTTTCTAATCATTTTTATTGGTTTTTTAATGTATATTTTTTTATTGTTTATATTATCTTGTGTATTTCATATTTCAGGCCACTTTCACTGACATTCTTAAGCAACTCGGTACGTGATCATTTGAATCAGATTTCTTTAGTTCCTTTTCTGTTCGTAAAATAAACTAGTGGTGTTTTCTTAATGCGATTCATCATTTTCAGCTACCTATTATAAAGTAGATCTGACACCGAGGAAACCAGCTATAAAACTAATGATTCAAGAAGAATTAACCAAGTTAGCTGATGACGCTGAAGAGGATGAAGATGATAATGAAGATGAAGACTCCGATAAAGAAGAGCTCCCTGTACCCAAAGGCAAGAAGGTCAAGGTGAAAGTTTGATTATAGTTTGGGACGGTATGAATGTGTATCATAACTCTTAATGTTGACTTTCTAAACTATACCTTTTGTTATCGCCTCTCCATCCTGTCCCCGCTTGTATAAGTGCTGGTGCTGGTCATGAAAACACCATCTCTACAGGCTTATTTGTGTTTGTATAAGATAGATGTTGTAGGCACCTTTTCAACCTTAAATTTATTGACTTAGATATGTATAATTAGTCTTGTATGTTTATAATAGCTTCTGTATTGCTTTCGTAAGTAACTGGATTGCTGCGGGACTTCCATTTCCAGCAACGTTTTGCTGAGGAAATAGACTCGTGTCAATCATGGTGCTGAAATTTGATTCTGTTGACGATGCTCTTCTGCAATGCAATTTATTCAAAAAAATTTCTTTCCTTCATTGTTATTATTCGTGGACCTTATGGTCATCTCTAATGTAATGTTGGCCTTCCCTGCGAAATTCGTTTTGTGATGTTTATGAATTATGGAGTTTGCTGATAAAGTGTCTGTGGCCGCAATGTGTTTGCCTACTGGATGCGCAAGCTTGGCTGAAGCGAATAATGATATGTTGTTGCTGATGTGATGTTGTACGCTGCTCTGAATCTTTATTTTTCTGGTGCGATGTTGTACGCTGCTCTGAATCTTTATTTTTCTGGTGCGATGTTGTACGCTGCTCTGAATCTTTATTTTTCTGGTGCGAAGATTCATTTACGGCGTTACTATTGTCTGATGGTGGAAATGGCTGTGACCTAGTAGCTTCATTTACTAGTTGGCCTTTGTGGAATATTTCTCTTATGAATCTCTTTTTTTCTTTTTTGGGTGGGGTGCTTTGATTCTTGCAAGGGTTTACCATGCATGCGTAATTCAGAACTTGCTGCACGCAAGTACATGGACCGAGGCTCTTAGAACCACAACAGGCTAAATTCCAGCGAGAGCAACAAAATAAGCAGGATGCGGTCTAACTGTATTCAATGGATTAACAGCAGCAACATGCTACAGAATGAAATCGAAGCACAGGCTACCCTTTATGTGAGTTTTACATAACACCTACTACGGCACAGCGCAACACGACACAGCCTGACCATTAGAGCCCTACTGCTGGTCGGAGGAGTCAGCCCCGGAATGCCAAATCCCAATCTCGGAGTACCCATCTTCAGTAGCACAAGCTCTGAACATGCCCCTGGTGTTAAAAGGCATCACAAACTCCCCATCAGCAGAGACAGCAATGAGACCCACACTGCTTTTGGGAACCCTGTCGATAACGTAGGAGGCTGCTTCTTTGAGGGAGAGCCCTTTGTACTCCATCAAAGCAGCGACATCACGGGCGACAGTGGCCCGTATGATTGCTTCACCACGGCCTGTAGCCGAGACTGCACACAGATGATTGGCATAGGTGCCTGCACCAATGAGGGGAGTGTCACCAATCCTGCCCACCATCTTGTTCACTAGCCCACCAGTAGAGGTAGCTGCAGCCAAGTTCCCATCGCAATCTACGGCGACGCAACCAACGGTACCGATTCGACTGTCACCTTCATCCTCTGTGGATGGTGCCTTGTGAGGAGCCACGGGCTGAGTGAAATCTATCTGTAAAGGTGCATCATCCGAGCAATTAGGAACTCCACAGTCAGAGAAACAAGCGTTTACAATACATACGTATCATTGGGTATCCAGGTGACATAAAACAAAAAAAAAACAGAAAGACAACACACGAGGACGCGTGCAGGCAGCTGAGATACCTGGACCCGGTGAGCTTCTCTGGCTTGTTTCAGCCTCTCAACGTTTTCAGCAGTTACGAAGTGGCCCGTGTCTGCAGTTTCAACACCCTGGGTAATTTTAACCCCAAACAGTTAATATAATCTCGGTGGCTCTCGGGCCCCGTGTCAAAAGAAACCAGAGGGGCTATAATTACCTGGGCCCTCGCGAAGGCCTCGGCACCGTCGAATCCGAGGTAAACGTGCGGGGTGTTGTGCATCACGAGGCGGGCGAGGGATACGGGGTTAACGACCGTGGAGAGGCCGGACACGGCTCCGCATTGTTTAGTGTTCCCGTCCATGATGCACGCCTCCATTTCGACGGTGCCAGCACTCGTCAGAACGGAGCCCACCCCAGCATTGAAGTGCGGGCAGTCCTCCAACCCACGGACCTGCGCAACATTAGCAACAACAGTAGTAGTAATAAGAGAGGAGGGAGGGAGGGAGAGGGGGCGCGCCGTCTTTGAGGGCGGCGACTCCGAGGTCCAGGCACCGCCTGAGGGCTTCCTCCCTCGGGATCCTCCGCTCCGGGGGCAGCGTCAGGGGAATGTCGCCGGCTCCCCCATGAAGCGCGATCGCCCACCCTTTCCCCATCCTCATTAATTATTATTATTTTTTTTTGTTTTTTTTATTTTTTTGGGGTGCGAGGGACCTTGGCTGGGACTATCTATCAGGAAGCCGAGAGATCCTCCCCTTTTTATAGATATAATTATTCGTTTTAATAATAATAATAAGTAAACACCGTCAGTCAGTCAGATACGGGCACAGCTTTCGGCCGTTGAGCATGAGTTGGGCCGCACTGGGCCTGGCAGTTTTTTAGCAACCACAACCAATTGGGCTACTGACGTCACCTGTGCGCACTCATCCGACAATCTCTCGTCCGGTCGAATGGCTGGACTGGACCCAGGTAGGATCCAGTGAGAACGCACTTGACGCCTATCTATCTGCGCACTGAGTCCTGGAATTTGATGATTCAAGGATTGATATTTATTTTGTGAACATTTAATTCGATACTTTTCTATGAGCTTGTATAAGGAACAAGTGGCAAATTGATCTTCCGATTTTCGATAATATTTAGTAATTATGTGGATTAGATAATAATCTAGTCTAGTCAGACAGGGCGCAGCAACGACCCATCCAAATCTTGTTAGCTAGCGTTGAAACTAAAAGTCTTTATGCATGCCCGCCCCCAAACTCTTCCTTCGACTTTGAATAAACACGTACCGTCACCTTCATCTTAATCTTAATCCAAATCTCACCTCTTACTCGTTCTACGTTTTTTTAGCTTCCTAATTACGCCAACCCTTTCAAACATATCCGATCCGCTTTTAGTATATCATGCGTAATTGCAAGTTTCACTAATTTTGCTCCTTAATTTTTGAACCGATGTATACGTGTTGGGATGAATCGGATGTAACTTGCCAAATGAGTACAAACAAGTTAATTATAAGAGAGGACTTGGCAATACATCAACTCAAACTCAAAACTCCGAGGAGAGCAAACAATATACTAATAAAGGAGAAATTATTTGCGTATGGCATGCACAAATTTAACATGTCTTGTATGTTGGGAATTTATCAAATAAATAAAGATTATAGCATGAATTTAAACCCGGAAATTAAATAAATAATACATCAAATATAGATAATATAAATTAGAGAAACAGGCCTGACGGGAGCAGTCGTGTAAACACTGCCCTAGAAGATTGAGGACCCGCCTATCGCCCTGGCGCAGATGATCCCTTCTCCCCTAGCGGTAAAAACCCCCGGAAACGGTCCGGCCTCTGCACTCGGGCGAGAGTGCAGAGCTTCAGCTCAGATGAAGAAGTTGCCCATAAAGTAAAACTAAAGTATAGATGAAAATGATATGTAGAGGAGAAAAGAAAACAAGATAAGTTTTCCACATTTTTCTTCATGTTTCTTGAGCTCAACATATGTTGTTTATATAGGGGTTGAAAAGAGCCGTTACAAAATCCCTCAATAAATTTCGTAACGTTCGTCATAATGTATAGTCATTATGCCCATTTTAATTACAAATTAAAACACATTAAAACATATTTTAATTGCATATTTTAATTACAAAAATTTATTAGAATTCATTAAGGCAAAATTACCTTTTCTTTAAAAATATCAAACAGTCCCCCCCAAAAGGCAATATTGACTGAAAACTTAAAAATCAATAAATAAATTAATAAATCACAAAATGAAAATAGGTTGGGCAACCTATCGTATCGTGAATTCGGGAAAGGTAGCTTTCGGCTTTGAACCTTTCCTTAGTGAGTTCATCGCCACCTGAGGGACATAATGGACTAGGCCTTGAATTAGGCCCCTTTAATCAGGTATTGATAAAAACACACACAATACGCTTCATCTATTGAGCAAAGCGGGTTGAGCGTTAAAGGCCATGCTCACAAAAAACCGACTCATGAGAGTTTCTAGGGGTTAGCCCAGCCCCCCCTAACCGCGGCCATCACGGTTCCTCTCACGTAGGTAAGTCCTCAAAGGGTACTACAGCTGTTTATTTAATACCCCCCACAATACACGCGTTGGACTTATTAAGAGTAAAACTCAGCCTAGCCAGCTGTATCATAAGAGCATCGTCATCATAGAGAAGGGGTAGTAGCAAATGCTACATAATGATATATAAATATATCTAGGTCGATGCTCCACACGAGAGTCACTTGTCCAGCTTGTTTCTACCACATTGAACCGACATTGGGACTACGTCTCCAAATAAGGGTTGGGTTGCCGCTGTCAGTGACCTCATCTATGGGCTTAACCCCATCTCCCTCGATGAATCCAGAACCACACTCCTGGATAATCCCTTAGTCAAAGGGTCAGCAAGATTTTTCTCAGACTTTACAAAGTCCAAGATCACAACTTTGCCTAATAGGCGTTGTACAGACTTATATCTTATTTGAACATGTCTGTTAAGTTTTTTATTTACATGTACTTTTTTTAGAAGCTTTATGGTAGATCTAGAATCAGAATGAATAAAAATAGGAGGAGAAGGTTTAGGGACCAAAGGAAGTTCAGATAGTAGATCTTTTAACCATTCGGTTTCTGTGCAAGTGGTATCAAGAGCACTACAAAGGAGACCTTCCAAATTTATGTTGCCATTTTCTAGTACCACCTCTTATACAAATAATAATAATAATAATATTTGTACATACGTGCTTTAAATTTTACAAGTGCATTCTTGCATAAAACCTTGTAATTAATCATGTAACAAATGCAAGTTATCTAAAAGGACATATGAACATTTATTGCAATATCCATCATGATGCAATAAAGGAGATGAACTTTACATTTGAAGATTTGAAATATAATCCACCATATAAAATAGAATTTTAAAAGATGCACCTCTTTGATTTTGTTCGCTCATATATTGATCATTTATCATTAGGCAATATATGATGCAAGAAGCGTAATTAAATAAATGCATATGAATTTTCACATAATTCCGGTCCTCTTATTCCAAACCAAAAACTCCTAAAGTGAAAAGATTAAAGTTTTACCCGGGTAGTTAGCCAGGTAAGGATAGTAATAGAGGTTGATCAAAGATCAATTAAGTACCTCGTTCCTTGCAGAGCGCGTTACGCAACCCTTAAACCTTGCCTTAGACACCAACTAATCCAAGAAAACTTGAATCGGTTCACTCAATGAGTTTTTGTTCCTTAACAGTATATAGAAACTTTAAATTATTTCCTGCAATCATTTAAATTGCCTAGCAATTATACTGCAAACATATGTTGGATAAGACCGAGGAGGGGTTTACCTATTGATGTTCGAACCTCATGATTTTCATGTCTTGAGAGTAAAAACTCATCTGCTGCAGACAACTGCCACAGAAGTTGCTGAACAAATTTGCATTCACTTTTACCACATTCTGTACTAAGCTTATTAGATGCATAAATACACTAATGTATGAAATTATTAATAGAAGGCATCATATTATTGATAGCTTAAAGAAATAAAAGTATTAAACCATGAACAAATCCAGATATTTCAAAGCATCTATTTTGTTTTCTTTATTCTTGTCAAAACCATGCATATGAGACTTTCAAACATAAATAAGTATTAAAAGCTCAAATTATTTATTGGTGATCATCAACGTTCAAATACAGAGCATATTCACTAGCACAAGGGAATAAGGGTAGGCTTTAGATGATACTAACAAATATAAACTAGGCTTTTAGAAACCAATAAAGGTTCTTTGATATTCGTAACTTACAATAATTATTGATTATAAACCAACTATAAGACAAATGTAATTAACTGTTAAATTAAATTAACAGAAATATTTAGCTACAATTTTTTTTTAAAAATAACCAAAACTGTTTACATGAACAGTAACTTTTTAAATAAAATGAACAGTGCCGTTTTCAAAATAAATGAACAGTAACATCATTTTTAGAATTAAACAGTAACGTCATTTTTTAAGAATGAACAGTAACGACATTTTTATAAATGAGCATTAACATTCTTAAAAATAAATAAATAGTAACGTTTTTTAATTAAAGCAACTAATTACAAAATTTTATTTATTTAGGATGAATAGTAATAGTTAAATAATTTTTTAAACAGTTACTGTATTTTTCTGAGTGAACAGTACCAAAACTGATTTTTTTTTAAAAACAATTAATAGATAATCAAGCAATTAGCAATAATTTTTTTAAACAGTAATTTTCTAAACAAACAGTAAATAAAAAATTACATGATGTTTCTGAACAGTAAATTCTCGGGTGAACAGTAAACTTTTGATGAACAGAAATTTTTAAAATTTTTTATTTTAATTTTTTTTAAATAACAACTATGAATTATCAATCTTCTAGATTGTTGGGAATTTATCAAATAAATAAAGATTATAGCATGAATTTAAACCCGGAAATTAAATAAATAATACATCAAATATAGATAATATAAATTAGAGAAACAGGCCTGATCAGGAGCAGTCGTGTAAACACTGCCCTAGAAGATTGAGGACCCGCCTATCGCCCTGGCGCAGATGATCCCTTCTCCCCTAGCGGTAAAAACCCCCGGAAACGGCCCGGCCTCTGCACTCGGGCGAGAGTGCAGAGCTTTAGCTCAGATGAAGAAGTTGCCCATAAAGTAAAACTAAAGTATAGATGAAAATGATATGTAGAGGAGAAAAGAAAACAAGATAAGTTTTCCACATTTTTCTTCATGTTTCTTGAGCTCAACATATGTTGTTTATATAGGGGTTGAAAAGAGCCGTTACAAAATCCCTCAATAAATTTCGTAACGTTCGTCATAATGTATAGTCATTATGCCCATTTTAATTACAAATTAAAACACATTAAAACATATTTTAATTGCATATTTTAATTACAAAAATTTATTAGAATTCATTAAGGCAAAATTGCCTTTTCTTTAAAAATATCCAACATTGTATGTGCATAGATGTAGGGGTGGGCGTGTGCTGTGTCGGGCCTGACCTATGAACCGGCCCGACCGATTTCGTAGCCGCACCAGTTCAGGCCCAAATTTGGCCGAGCCTCGGCGTGCCTGACCGAAGACTCTGACTCCATGTCTATACCGGACCCAGCCTGGCCTACGGCCTGCATTAATTTTTTTCATTTTCAATTATTTTTCCAATATTTTCCTTTTCTATCAATAGTTATGGATCTTAGTTATGTTAATCTACTGATATTTGTGATAACAAACCAACATCTTAATTATCAGTGGATATAACAGTTATTATCATTGTTGTTGTACATACAACCTTACATTTGGGTTAGCCACACCACTTCATGGTGGAATATTTACTCAGTATCAACTAGGTACGCACTTCAACTCATTTGAGTATGAAACTTCTGCACTCAGTCTATAACTTGGTCACGACATATGGACTGACTTGAAAGCTTGAAATACAATGATATAGGTCCGTAGTAACCGGTCTCAATAGGTCGGGTTACCATGGCTTATCTTGACTTGGCCCATTCCAAATGGCAGTATGTCCTAATTGGAGTTGGTTGATCGAATAGTATCACATCCTCAACATACCATGTTAGGACATATCAAGTGTGTATTCCATCTCTCTATCTGTTGACTTTTATAACTACCTAATCTACACAAGCGTTGACTGTATCATCCTACGCCAATGAGGTACTGCCATGTGGTTACACTTGACATCAAGTAAATACCTTGTAGGCCAAGTATTTACACTTGACACCAAGTAAATACCTTGTAGGCCAAGTAATACTTTAAAGGTCTACTATATGTCATAACAACCTTGACCTTCAGGATGATGATACATGTAGAGCTTGATCTGCCCTAGGCAATAAATATCAATACCTCTCTTACCTAAGGTAAGAAAAGAAAAGGTCAAAACTTAGGCCCACCACCGTTGACCCGGTTGATGATCATCTTTCTCTAAAAGCCCTAGCCTAAATACCTTTTGTTTTTTATCTCTTTTTGCAAGAGTCTGACTTAGGCATCAGAGAGACATTGGTGGATAGCAAACATCATCAATCTGATATTGTTTTTTTTTTGTATTACAAGCCCACTCAGCAATCGCAGGCAGATCTCAGCATTAGAACCCTTTTTGATCATCTAAGTTGGATAAGAACAAAGGATTTGGCCATATCTTCAGTTGACAACGGCCTAATTCCGTTTAGAGATGATATCCAATCAATTGAAATGCTCTGAAACGAACAAATCCCGAGAAATATCAAGAAACACGTCAAAAACGCATTTTAGGCAGTTACGGGTGCGCGGCAGACCACGGTGACCCGCGTGGGCGCGGCAGACCACGGTCGATAAGTGCGGCTGGCATTTGGAGCTGACTGACAAGCATGGCGGGCACTTGGATCAGCTGGCCGATAAGCGCGGCGCGGCGGGCACTTGTATAATCCTTCTTAACTCGGATGATGACGTTCATCGTCTTCTCTTCATCTCGAGCTGCGTGCGGGAATCTATAGGCATTTTTAGACACTTACAATATTTAAAATAACTAGACGACTAGCTTTGTTCCACAGGAGTTTTTAATTAAAAAAGAAAAAAAGAACAAGAGAATACTCCCAAAGTGAAACCGGACCAATCCTAGCTCACTTAATTCGAGCATGTCAAACACAAAACAATTTAAACTGATCAGGATTAATTCTAATATAGTTTTACGGATTTTAAATGTTAATTTCTTGTTCCAAGAGGACCATTGTACGGTGTGGAGCCTGTGTAATTCCCTGTCTGTTCTTGACCCACTTTCTTGTACATCCTTGTCGCTGAAAGTAATTCCTTTTGATCAATCACTACTCAAAATTTAGCAAAATGATAAAGACGTACATATTAAGCAGAGTTACTTTTAGTTATTCTTGTAATTTTTTTTTTTAACAAAAGGTTGTCACGCTCGTCTTATATGATCTCTTATTCAGTTTTAGCAAAGTCCTATTTTGAAAACGACATTCTGATTGAATTCCCATACGAAACCATAGTTTTACGTAGTAAGGCTGCACACAATTAATAACGAATCATTAACTAATAATTGCAAGAGAAACATGATTGACCTGCAATCCTTAACAAGCATGGATTAATTTATATACACCCAAATTGATGAAATGCAAACTGCAGGCATCCTACTTACACACAGCATACCTCTAGCTTGCTGCAAATTAATTGGCACTTTAATTTGTAGCAGCAAGAGATGTACGTATATACTAATTGCATCTACTACACACCCATGCATCTTCACATTTGATCGATTTACGCGCATATACGCGCCACACACACACACACACATATATATACACACACACACATCTCGTACGCTGTTCCCTGAATCTTGATTAAGCATGCGTTGGGTATGAGGCCTGCATAGCAATGCCGCAGAGCCCTTCATCAGCATCAACATCCCTCTCCATCCTGATATACCCCTTCTCCCCCCACGACGATCCCCACGAGTTCTTCACCAGCCAATACTTGGTCCCATCGCTCGCTGTGCCGTACCCCACGGTCGTCACTCCATGATCGAGGTCGGTCCCGTACTCCCCCGTGAAAACCGAAGCGGAGTACGTGTCTGCAGTAAAAGCAGCAAAGGAGTTACTATGGTTGAAGGTTTTTCTTCTCGAGCTTGGAGTTAGCTTTGAGAAATACTTTATCTACTGCGACAGTTAGAGTGCTATTCACTTGTCAGAGAACGACGCATTCCATGCTCGGACTAAGCATGTTGACATGAAACACCATGACATACAGAGATGACAAATCAAGAACGAGTTTAAGCTTGTGAAGATTGATACGAGGTACAATCCAGCCGATATGCTGACCAAGCCAGTTCCGCTCGAGAAGATGAGGCTGTGTGCAGTCTCATATGGCCTCCGTTGAGAATGTTGAGGACGGTGCAAGACGTTAAAGATACAAGACATCCGGATCAACATCCTGTGCAACGCACGGCGTTTATTATTATTATTATTATTATTAAATTAGAGGGGAGATTAATTGTTCGACATATATATATATATATATATACGGTATATATGTTATTATCATAATCTATTGATTAAGCTAGGCGTACCAAAATTAGGTGACATGGCAAAAGTAATATACGTATATCTGCTCACCGCATTGGCCTTGATCCTTTACGGGAGTAACCGCGCCCTTTTTCCTCCAATCCATAGAGGTCGGCACGGCCGTAACGTTCTCGTACCTGAAAGTACTCCTGGCTGCACCCTTCGACCAGCGGGGCTTAAACCCGTTGCGAGCTCTGAACTCATCGTTGGTCAGATCAGCAAACTGGTTGGCGCCCAACCTGAACTTGTTGTTATTCTTGGAGTTGAACGATTCGACAAGATCCATGTTGGCCTTGAATATCTCGAATCGACGAGCCTTCTCTGCTGCATCCTTGTAAACACGACCGTGCTTCGACATCCACTGCTCGTGCCTCTCGGCCATCGACATTTCGTTCAGGCCGCGTGATGCTGCAGCCTGAGAGGCCCAGATGCTCAGTACCATGAGCAAAGCTAGCCAGAAATTACTACAGCTAAATATTGTTCGCGAGTACTCCATGACTTTATATTTGATTAATTAATGACGAATTAAATGTTGCAAGTAAGTGGATATCATGCATGGGATCAACGGTTGCATGAGATTTATATACATATACAGGGGGCCAAGTGCTGGAAGAGTATGTGTTTGAGACTCAAGTTCCTCTATGCATGATGCGATCGGGAAAGTGACTCGTGCGTGCCGTGTGAGCTCGTGTTGATTCGCCAGTTTTGCTGTTCTTAAGATTCCGTGAGATAACTAATCTCTCCTTAAGATTCCATGTATAAGATTCCATCATAATCACTTGTGATGTGATGTGATCAAGTGCACTTAACACAATGCTAGTGTACTTGTATATGGATGCGTAACGGATTCAGGTGACTGTCTTTGTTTACCATCAACACGCAACTATCGTGTTATTTTTTTTATGCAGTATTTAGCCAGTCTAGCTTCCGCTAATTAATTGATTATGGGGGCATCTAATCTAATGAATGATTAACAATTCCCTCACTCTTTCTTTCTCTTTTTCTTTTTCTTTTTATGATGTCCCATCATGGTATCTCCAAGCTGCATGCATGAACAATATCAAACAAGAGTAGTGGACCAATCAGATTAAACTATGAGTTTTAAATTTCTCCTAATATCCAGTTTCTTTCATTTGGTTGCTTACTGGAGAGAATAACATACGCTCAATCATATTGACTAATTAATAACGAGCTAGGTCTGTTAACTGAATCCAATTATATATATTCACAAACGAAAATTTTCCAAATGATAACCCAAGTTAATTTATCCTATAATGAGTGGGAATTTTGGGCTGGGCCTGTCAAATTACAGTGAAAGGCCACTAGGGCAGCCTTGCAAGTGCAAAACACTGATCATTTTCACAGAGAAATCAAAATTCAAAGCAATTTTATTTACGCAACTCTAGACGGTTATTTGACCTAGACAAGTACTATCCAACTGCGGCTTAGAGTAGTGAATGAATGGAATAAATTAAGAAAATCGATAAATAATGGTCTTATCATCAAAATGCATAATTACTTATATCCTTTGACTGTTACAAATTATCGCAAACCATACAAACAATTGTCCCGCTAAAATAGCCTGCTTAAAAAAATTACTCCTAATTAATTATCTCACTAAAATATACCACTTTCAAAAACAATTATCCAAGTTCTAGTGAAAATGTTTCAATTAACTACCCCCAAGTAATTTTTTCACCACATCCTTGATTCAAGTTATTTGTACGCTTGCCAGATAAGGCTACTAAATCAAATTTAATTTATCCAATTAAAGCTAATTAAAGCAAATGAATATAGCTAACATATATATAGATTCTTTCAACTTGCTTTTTCTTCCGGAAAAGTTTCTCTTAATTTTTTCCCCTCTATTAAACATCACTCAAAAATTGAACAAAGCACTCATTAATTTTTTTAACAAAATCATTTCCACACACATGAAATCTTCGATTTAGTCACAAGTTGATGTTAAGATCTTGTCTGTACAATTTATTTTGTTTGAATAATCACAAACATGTATTTGAGTCTAATTTATATTTGAGATAATTTGTGTAGGTTTATACAAGTTAGAATCGAGATTGATATCAAACGGAAGAAGTTTCAGCACAACAAGATGAATCTGGAGCTGAATCATCAATTAAATTCATTAATCGATTGTAAAAAATAGCATAAATTTCTCAACCATCAATGAGAATAGGAACTCATTGGTGAACACTTGGTCATCGAGCCACCCTATCTCATCGATGAATCTGGAGCTCACATCATCGATTGAAAGATCCCCTAGCGATAAGAAAAAGAAGCAAAGTGCATTTGCTCATCAATGAGCAGGAGACTATCGATGAGGCAATGATCATCGATGACGCATTCCTATCATCAATGACCCTAAGCCAAAAACTCAAACTGTGAGATCTAATCTTAGCCTTTTGATGCAATTGAGATACCCTTCCTCTTATATTATTTCATCACATTGTCTATTGACCAAATAGAGAGAGAGAGAGAGAGAGAGAGAGAGAGAGAGAGAGAGAGAGAGGATTTTGAATTGGAAGATCAAATCTCATCAGAATAATCCGGTAGCTCGTTTGTTCACTTCATTATCACATTCTTCCTCATTGAATTTATAGCTATCAACGAGTGCTACCTTAGTATCACAGATTTAAAACTTGTTGCTCCATATCTATATTTACATATTTTGACTGTAGGCGTCAAAAAATACTTGCAGACATCCAAATACCATTCAAAACAACATGCGAGAACAATTTACACGTCATCAGGCAACACAAGGTGGCGCGGCAGCCCATGGCGTCGTGGCTAAGGCGCGACAGCACATAATGCCGCGGCTAAGGCGCGACAGTACCTAGTGCCGGGAGTGCTGTGGCGGTTACAAGGCAGTTATATGATGATTTTTGAGGCCTACGTGTGCTGACGTGGACAAGCAGTTAAACCACGAAAAAAGTGGTTAAAGGTCGTGGGAGAACGGTTTTAAGCACGATTGCTGACGTGGAAAAGCGGTTAAACCACGAAAAAGGTGGTTAAAGTTCGTGGGAGAGTAGTTTTGAGCGCGATGGAACGTGCTCATAACCGTCTCTTTGGCCGCGGCAGCCTATACTGCCGCGCCAATAGCCGCGGCAGTGTAGACTGCAGCGGCCAAAGAGAAAACGGCCAGTCAGTTATTTCGCCTCCGTTTCAACTGTGGTGCACTGAGAGCCCTATAAATACCTCCCTAGGCACGAATTAAAGGAAAAAGAGCATTTTTGGAGCAGAAGAGACTTGAGTCTTTGGTGATTTTGAGAAAGAAAGAGAGAATTTTCACCCTTTGACAAGCATCATTTGGTGAATCCTAGAGATCTAAGCTCAGACTTGATCTTTGGAAGAACGAACATCTTACATTGATAAGATATTCGTTTTCAAATCTTTACTTCGATAAACGAAGGAGAGATCCTTAAACAACCTCTCGATCTACGAATCGGTGGTCCACGAACTAAAGCGTTCCCGGCACAGGCAAAGTCCCACAAAAGCAGGAGTTGATAAACAATTTCTGTGTTATTTTCTCGAGAGTTGTATTTTCTTTTATTTTCATTGTAATTCTTTGTAAACGATCGAAGTTTTAATGGAATCTGCAATGGAAACAACTTTCGCCGAAAACAAGTTAGAGCGGCCAGATTGTTAGCAAGAAGAAAGAAGAAGAATGAGAGACTAGGGGTGATTCAGCCAGCTGGAGCTGCAGGGGAGGAGAACAGTATCGTGATTCAACTGGATTAACCTCAATCTTCAGTGCTTTAGTTTATATGGTGATGAGTAAGATTGTTGTTGGATATGATACTTCTTTTGTGGTAGTTAAGCTTTCTTTTGGGAGTTTTAATCTTTGTACAAAAGGGTTTTGGTGCTTTTGTATTTTCAGTTGACTTTTTGTGCACATTTTTTGGTTGGGAAATGTGCATTTTATATGTAACAACCAGTTATATTTAGCTGGCTGGATTACTATATAGTAATCCATCCTTTTTCTCAAAAAAAAAAGGATTGAAGCAAATACTTTCAAGTCTAAAAGCACTTCCTAGCTTCATCCGCAAGTTTACCAAGAAGAGCTTATTGAAGATCAAGATTAAGCTTGGGTAATTTAGTTTAGATTTTTATATTATGTGTTTTAGTACTTTAAGCTCAATCATATACACACATACACGCTTTGGTTTTGTATATATAGTTATATATATACATATATGTTTTGGTTTAGTTATATAGATATGAAACAATATATATAAAAGGACGGAATTCGTCGTCACTGTTGATCGCTGTCCCTGAAACAACGAATAGTGGTCAGAAATAGTAATTTGAAAATGCAAGAAAAAAGAAAGATAGGTGACTAACCTTGCTCCAAATCTGCCTCGTAGTCTTCAGGGTCTCCGCCTGAGGCCTCTCCAGCAGAACTAAAGGCCCTGTGACCTTCTGCATCAAGTCGGCGGGTCTTGCCCTGAGCCCTCTGTGATCGAGCACCGTCCTGGATAACACGAGAATCAAGTTGAGAGGCTTCTTCGGTCACCAACTCTTCGATAGGCTTCACACGGACAGTCTTATTAGCTGCTAGCAACCACTTGCAGCTCAGGAAAGTGAGGTTCAACTGTCGCTCAGTACCTGGGAGACTGAACCTAGCTCCAGTGCAACCAGTCACGGTCCACAACCATGCACGAAGACCGTCCACCAGACCTCCATGAGCCCGAAGCTGCTGGCGCGGGTTCCCAACATAAAGTTGGTCATAACCGAATTTGCGGGCGAATCGGCAAGGTAGATACGGCTCTATGAAGCACTGATTCCCCACCCGGAAAGTCAGGTAACCCGGCCTAATGTTCACTAGCCAATTAAAGCAGCCCATATCCAGATAAGTCCTATACTCCCTCGGCTTCTCCTCATCAATCAAACACTCGCCGTACCGGCTGGAGAACTGTGGAAAGCAAGTGGAGAATGCCCAGCACTTGTGGACTTGTAGCTGACGCCTGATATCGGGGAATCCTCGGCCCTCCCATTCACCATTCTCAAGCAACTGTAGAAAGGGGACAGACTGATCTATGGCATTCGGTATTGACATCACGTCGGAACGATGAAGAACGAACCAAGCCATCAAATAAATATACGGGAGCTCTACCTTAATGGTAGGAATCTGAGTCGGTTTATCATCATCTCTCCGTGTAAAAGCACCAGAAATCTGCCGAAGCCCTCGATGAATGTTAGCAACCATCACCGGAAGAAGCGAAAGTTCCTTCTTGTAGGCAAGCTGAACTGCAGGATAGAGCACTTCCAGTGGCAGAGCGTCACCAGACTGATACGGGACCACACATTTCTTCAACCAGATGGCGAGATAACCGGCAAGGAGAGTCATCGGACGAATCGGTGTGGTCGCATGATATAAGAACGATCTGAATTTAGTCCCTGCAGGAAAGCCGCTCTCGGAACTGCTAATGGTATAGGATTGGGCGTTAGTCTTATTCAGCAGCTCATTAACCTCTGAAG